ACCTCTGGAACAAAAAGAGAAAGTCGAGGGGGCAGACAATGAATGTTGGCTCCAGGCTCACCTTACTTGCTCTCTGCTCCTTTTAAAAAGGGTACATACAGTTTGATTAATTTTCATGAACTGGACACATGGGACCAACATCCTGACCAAAACACAGAATATTTCCAGCACTCATCAGCCTCCATGTGCTCCCTTCCAGAAGCGGTCTGCTGACCTCTGACAGCAGGGGTTTGTTTTGTCTAGTTTTGCCCATAAATGGAGTCGTACAATGTGTACCCTCTGTGGGTAGCTTCATTTTACATTATGTGTGTGAGATTCACCCATATTGCTATCTGTGGGTTTTACTCTACTTACCCTTCTAAGTAGAATTTCCTTGTCCATTTTACAGATAGAAGAACTGAGGCTTAAAGATTTCCAGGAACTTGTCAAGGCCACACGGCTGGCCAGTGGCTGGGTCAAGATTCAAGCCCGGATCCCTTTCTATTCTGCTCCAGATGTGAGATGTGTTAGTTACCTTTCTTAGTCCTGAACCAGAATCTGAAAACCTGAACAATACGTGATCTGGAGGCAGGGTCTGTTTTAAAAGCAGCAGGAACACTTAACTCTGCTTTAGAAAAGGCTCACTAAAAACAAGATTTTAGGATCTCCTTTGGCAAGGTTTTTGCAATGGGCCCAGCTGCAAAAGTCAGCCTTGGTAATTAATTACATCAGGTGTCTTCCAAACAGGGAACAGCTTATAACTTCTTACAGAGGTAATCCCTGACGCATTTTCTCCCTCATGAGCTGGAAGAGCAGCCGGGAGAGGGGCTGAGGAGGAGAGCGTGTCTGCCACTAGGAACCACTGTAACAAGAAACATGTATCTCTTTAAACAAATGGATATAGATTTTTAATACTAAAGGGATTTTCCAGTTTTTAAGTCAATCTGCCTAAAATCCCTTCAGAATTCTGTCACCACCTTAACACTTTATCAAGAGGGTTTTAATGAGATTAGGAATGATTTCCAAACTCCTTTTATACACATTTAAGGGCTTTGGGATGTTTCAGATTTCCTTTGATCTAAAACAAAATGCCCTTTGGTCAGGAGTCTGGAGGCACCTCAGATGGAGTTTACCCAATCACATCAGCTGATTCTGAAAACTGAAAAGAGGCTGACTATCTCCGAGGCATCCTTCCCGGGTCCATAAACTTAGGGACTGTATCTTTTTTTTTTTCAATTTAAAACCACCCAGGGATATCCACTGGACAGATACAAGAAAAGTCTTGGAAAAATAGACACAGGGCTCCCTTCGTTTCCAAATTCTTGTTGCTTCGTACACACGAGGCCCTACGTGCCTGGCTGGGAGAGCAGAGAAATCGGACGTGGGCTCTGTCTGGAGGGACAGCTTGGAGAACATACTTCACAACAGAAAAAAGAAAATGGAAAGTAGAATACGGAAGTCTTTTGCGGGCAGAGAGTCCTGAAAAGAAATATTTATATATGAGTGCAGACCACGTTTAGAAGGATGAAGACCCTTCGGAATATTAATGTGCCTGACCTGCCCGGGACGGGCAGCTGCAGCCTGCGGCTTCCTCGCAAGTCTCTGATCGAGATCCCACACCTGCCCGCAAACAGGGCCCCAGCAGGGCCTGCAGTGAGGGTCAGCTCTGCACTGCCTGCCTGGCTGGCTGGCATCTTTGATGGACGCAGACCCTCTGGCCTCACAGGATTCCCGAGGCCCAAATGGCTGCCCGGCCAGTCTCTGGACTCCCCCGGCATGGGGGCCTCTGCCAGCTCTGACCCCTGACCTTTACCCCTCGGGCGGAGAAGGCTTTCTGCTGCCTTTTTAGGGCCTGGACTTCCTGACGATGCTGAAATGGGGCCATGGTGGGAGGAGGACGGGACAGTCCCCACAGGGCTGGACACAAGACCCGCGGCCAAGCTCCTCTCACTTCCTGATCAGGGGCTTATCTTTGAGTAAGTTTTAATTTAATTGTTTAAAAAAAAAAAAGGAGAGGGCAGTGGGTAAGAGACAATTTAAACTATAATAAATTGAGCTCAAAAGATATAAAACTGCCTCCCCCCAGAGACACGCTGGTTCCAGCCCTGCTACTTGCCACCTGCTATGGCATCATCCTAAAAGAGTGGGGGCGGCCGGATTCTATTCTCCCCATGCTGCCTTTCAGCAGCCCTGCCCTGTGAGTGCAGTCTCCACAGAACAGCAACCAGCCAGCCAGTGAAGGCAGGAATCAGAGCTGGGGTCCCAGCCGTTCAGCAGCTCAAATGCAAAAGGTCTGGGCAAAGCCAGGCAGTCCTGGAGAGTCTATGAACGGAACGGTTGTCCAGTTTGCTGCAGTGATTCTTAAACCTTAGTGCCCGTTAACAATGGAGAACTTGTTAAAGATGCAGACTGCTTGATCCCACTGCCAGAGATCTGCATGCATTCAGTGGCTGGAGCCAAGGAATCTGCATTTCCAGGAGCACCCAGGTGTTCCTGCTGCAGACGATGTCTCGAATCACTGAGAATCACTGTGGAAGAACACACTTCACTAGATGTGGGTTTGCACGCTGGCTCTGCCAGGACCTTGGACAAGTCACTTCTCCCTGGGCCTCAGCCTCCTCGTCTATCCAAGGGGCTGAACTAGACATTTCAGACCTCCACACAGAGATGCAAGCTCCCATGGCGGCTTGGTTCCCAGAGACACATCAGGGTTGGCTGGTCTAAGAGGGGAGAGTGAAGATGGGCCACACCAGCCACCGGCCTCCTGTCCGGCCTGCAGTCTGGGCAGCTACTCTGGAGAATGCTGCCTGCCCTTCGGCCAGCCTGGCTGTGACTTCTGACAGCTGGGCTGAGAACCGGCCATCCTGTGCTCCTTAGCAACGTCCCCCAACATGTTTGGTCTAATTCAGTGTCCTCCTCACCCTCTACACAGCCCCTGACATTTTAATTTTTAATAAACTTTTTATTTTGGAGTAACTTTAGATTTACAGAAAAGTTAACCAAGATACTACAGCCAAACATCTTACATGACCACAGTCTAGCTGTCAAAACCAAGCATTTCCAGGGACAGGTATATTAGTATTAACTAAATTCCAGACCTCACTTCGATCTCCCCAGTTTCTCCACTAATCTCCTTTTTCTGTCCCGGGATCCCACAGCCCATTTAGTCGTCAGGTCTCCTTACTCTCTTCTGGTCTCTGGCTCTCCCTCTGTCTTTTCTTATTTCCCGTGACCTTGACCCTCTTGAGGAGTACCAGCCTGCAGAATGTTCTTCCTCATCAGCAGACTGGGGTTAGGGTTTGGGAAGAAGACCACAGAGCTGAAGCGCCTGCCCCATCGCATCATGCGAGCGCACGACTTATGCCTGGTGATGTGACCTTGCAATTGTTTAAGTCGTGTTTGCCAGGTTCCTCCACTTTTCAATGTTTTGGTTGAGCTCCTGAATGCCACGGGAATAAAGCTTTGTCTCTCCTCACCAAGAGCTACCAGGACAGATGGGAGGAGGCAGGAGTGGGTACCTCAAGCAGGCTTGTCACTTTCTCTGTTTGGGGCTGAGCAGGACACGGTGGGGTCATCCCTGGCCTTCGCTGGTGCAGGTCCTGAATTCTGGGTGACGTGGTTCTCGAGCGCTGGTGTGAGTGTGTGAGTCACCAGGAAATCTGTTTCGTTCAGCCGGCTTGGCACGGCACCCAGGCCACTGTATTTTTAATGAGCTCCCAGGTAGTTCTGAGCTACACTGGCTTTTGAGAATCACTGAGCTACAGCTCAGATTTTTATTTTCAACTGAAAATATCCACCCTGGGTTTCATGCCAGGACTTACACTTGCCAGCAGGTGGAGCCAGAGGCCTGTGGCTCTGAATCTGCCAAAGAAAACTAGGACAAACTCCAGTCAGCAGACCATTCCACGTCGTAAGCAGAGTTAGGGTTATTAGGGTTATCAGGGCTCTACAGGAGCTGCTGTACTGAACGTTATGGGCTGTTCATTGTCTAGATGGTCCGCAACCCCGGGGATTACTTGCCAGCATCTAGCACCTTCTATGTCATAGCAGATTTCTTCCGGAGCAGAGGAGACTGGCAAGGCCCTGGGAGAGACGCAGATGTGGTTACGGATCCGGAGGGGCATACGGATATCTGAACCGGTTCTAAACTCAGCATTCACTCTTGCTGTGGTGCCCGGGGCCTGGCAGAGCCGAGCGTTTCTTGCTGGGATGATCTGTATCACCCTAACTCCAGACC